ACTTCAGGGCCAGTACTCTATCCACTGTGCCACCTAGCTGCCCCTGTCATTTCCTTCTCAAGCTCACTTGATGTGTGAGAAAATTGAGGCAAACAAGGTTAAGTGACTTGCTCAGGATCACACAGCTAATGTCTGTGGTGAAATTTGAACTCATAAAGACTAGTCTTCCTAACTCCAGGCCTACCACTCTTTCCATTGCATCATCTAGTTGCCCATTAGTTAATATTACTTTTCTCTTCATACATGATACTATTGCTGTAATTAGAATTTGAGGACCTTCCGTATGGAAAGAATAAAAATCCTTTAGCATTTCTATTTATCTAAAATACAGCAGATTGTACCTCTTGACATTTCATTTTTCTCATCTTTGCTGATGGTTCCACTACAATTTTTCCTGCTTAAAAAGAAAACAAAAGAAAAACAATCTATTTTAACACAATTTGCTATAATTCTTAAAGAAAGATATACAACATTTCCCAAGGTTCAGGAGGAAGGGACGAAAAATCAGGGAAAAAAGATCTCTTTCAAGGCTATCCTTTCCCTAAGATAATTTTTCAATCCTGCCATACTTTGTACCCACAGTGAAAGATGATGCTAACACTGAATTAAGTAAAATGCATTTACTGATATTTTGCCAGAGAAAATTTGGAGCCACAGGCACTAAAATTTTCTCACCCCTCTGTCATTGTCTGATCATTCAAAAACCCATTTAACCTCAGAGCAGGCAGTTACTACTGCTTTAAGTAAATATGAATTTTTTTAAAGACAACCCCAATTGAATTCCTTATCCTAAGACTGACAATTAAATTGTGAGTTGTGCAGTATCAACATGGAATCCCTTAATCTAGGTGATACAAATGATCAAGTCATTGATTGAACACAACTGCCAATACAATAGGCACATTCACAAATGTGTCTTCATGTTTGTAGAAACCCTAGGAAATAGCCTTTTTCTTGAACCCAGGATCTGACAAATGCATGAGAGCTTTTGGGCTGATAGTGGTGAGTCAATTTTTTGTTTGTTTGTTTTGTTTTGTTTTAAAATAAAACTTGTGGGAGATTCCCCACAGGATGTAAACCTGAGGACAGCCAGTATTTAGTTTTTGTTTTTGTATTTCTAGCAACTAACACACTGTATGCGATTAATAAGTCTTTCCTGATCCCCCTAGCTGCAAATGTCTTCCCCACAAAGAGCATCTTGTATTTATTTGGAATGCATGTATATACATAATCATTTGCTTGCTTAAAAGAATGGCAGATCTTTGGGTCCAAGTCCTATTTCATTTTTGCCTTTGCGCCTGTGATCCCCAGCACAGTGCCTAGCACTTAGTAGGTGCTTAATAAATTCTTGGGGCAGCTAGAAGGCTCAGTGGAAAGAGTTTCAGGCCTGGAATTAGGAAGGCACGTCTTCCCTCAGTTCAAATGTGGCCTTAGACACATACTGGCTGTGTGACCTGGGCAAGTCACTAAACTCTGTTCACCTCAGTTTCTTCATCTGTAAAATGAGCTGGAGAAGGAAATGGCAAACCACTCTAGTACCTTTGCCAAGAAAACCCCAAACTAGAGTTATAGAGAGTAGGACACAACTGAAAAGACTGAACAACAATGACAATAGATACTCAATGATTTGTTGATTAATTAAAAATGCTTTTTGAATTGACAAATAAATAGATGAATAATATTCAGAGTAAGACATTGTTTCTTGTCTACGGACCCAGATCAAACCATCATGCTTTCTGTAAAATGGTTGCATTGAGTAAGGGTAGAAATCATTTAATTACTTCCTTGTGTGATATTTTGCCTAAAAACCCTTTTGTATTCTTAAAAAGAAAGCCTCTTTTCCTCCTTAATGACCCACTTGCTTAAAATAAATACATACATGAATACATGCTGGTAGCCCCAGAGAATTAAGGATAAACTGACAGGCTCATAGGCAATTTTTTTGGGTACTCTAATGAAGTTCATAATTTAATTGCAGGAATTATTAGACACATTCTCACCATACACTGGCACAAATCTCAGAGGTAAGCCAGTTGCTCGTGCTCATATTCTCTTTATAAATCAAGGAATCCTAAAGGATTTTTAAAAATATGCTACCCAATAGAATGGCCCTCAGTTGTCCACTTAAAGTCTGTGTGCATCATAAATCTTTATTCTAAGGGTTTCAAGCAGAGTTAAGTAGTAATATTTAGGTTTATCTTTAATCACAAGGTACTAAGGCCTGTATTTATGCATTCTTATTTGCTAGATATCTTTCTCCGTGTGGGAAGACAACCCAGTTGCATTACTTCTTTCAAACTAGAGAGTAATTGAAGGAACTGGGGATTTTAAGTGTGGAAATGAGAAGGCATAGGGAATACTTGGACTTGCCCTCTACTGCGTTTCAGGACTGAGTGCTAAAAAGAGGGCCACTGAGGTCAGGGGAGAAATAACTACAAACCTGGAGAGGCTGCTAAGAGGTGGGAGTCCAATACTTTAAATACAGAGATAGGCTGAATGTGGGCTGAGCTTCCAGAAACAGGACACAGGGAGGGGAAAGTCCCCAGGGAAAACTCTGTTAAGTGAAACCAAACATAGCAGCACAAGGTGAGGGCCAAAAAAGCAAGTGGGGCTTTCAGTTCCAGGTGCAAGCGGAAGGGAAGAGATAAGCATTTATATAGCACCTACTCTGTCATTGGTGCCAGGGTAAGTGCTTTCCAGATATGATCTCATTTCATCCTCATGAGAACCCTATGAGGTCAGTGCTGTTATTATCCCCCTTTTCCAGCTAAGGAAACTGAGGCAAAGAGCAGTGAAGTGACTTGCCCAGCATTGCACAGCTAGGAAGTGCCTGAAGCCACATTTGAATTTATATACCTGACTCCAAGCTCAGTGTTCCATGGAAGAAGAAGGAGGAGAAGGAAAAAAGGAAGATGGAAAAGAGGAAGAAGGAAAAAGAGGAAGAAGAGAAGGAGAAGGAGGAGGAGGAGGAAGAGGAAGAGAAAAAGGAGAATGTGAAAGAAGAGGGAAAAAAGGAAGAAGAGGAAGAAAAGGAGGAGGAAGGGGAGAAGAAGCTAGCATTTATATTGTGTATTAAAGTTTGCAAAGTGCTTTCAATATGTCATGTCATTTGATCCTTATAACACCCCTGTAAGGTGAGGTTGTTATCCCCATTTAAGAAATGGGAAAACTCAGGATGCATGAGGTTAAATGACTTGCCCAAGAACACATGGCAAGTATGTCTGAAGCAGGACTCACATTTGTCTTCCTGATTCCAAGTCCAGCAAACTCCACAGCGTCACTTAGTGCCTACCTCCTCCCCCCAAGACTTCCTTTTGTCTCTAGGATCAAATAAAAACTTTTCTATTAAGCATGCAAAGTTGGCTCAAGCTTGTCTTTGCAAGAGGTTGCCATGCCAATCAATCAATCAGTGATAGGTATTTATAAAGCGCCAAGCACCGCGTCAGTACTGTGGCTATTAATACAATGAATGAAAAGATCCCTTGCATATCTCTCTCTCTCTCCCTCTCTCTTTCCTTCTCTCCATGTATACACATATGTACATATATAAATATGTATACGGATATACATACATGTGTGTATGTGTACATATAAATCTATACACATACAGAAAAAAGTTAGTACAAAAATCATTGAATTCAAGGTTGTTTGAAAGGGAAGACCTGAGCATTTGGAGGATAAAGAAAGTCTTCTTGTAGAAGATGGTACTTGAGTTGCATCTTGAGCAAGGAGACAGCAGAGATAGAGGTGAGAAGATGAATTCCAGGCATGAAGACCAGCCAATTCAAAGGTACAGACAGGGAGCATGGGAGTGTCACAAGTGAAGAAGAGGAAGAAGGCCGATTTGGCTCCACTGCAGAGTATGGCTGGAATACTAGTATACAGTTAGGTTGGAAAAAGAGGTCAGAGTCAAATTGTATAGAGCTTTCAAAATTAAACCAAAGAATTTCTAATTCCCAAGGCAGTAGAGAGCCAATAGAATTTGTCAAACAGGGAGTGAGTGACATGATCTGATCTACCCGTAAGAAAAATCACTTTGGCAGCAGTGGAGGACACAGTCCAGACAAACTGGCCTTGCTCTTCCTCATATATCACACTCCAGTGGGCATTTCTGTATCTTTCTGCTAGTGTTGTCCTATGTTTGAGAGCTAGAAGGAACCTCTGAGAACATCTCATCTGAACTCCTAAATTTACAGATGAGGAAACTGAGGCCCAGAGAGTGACTTGCTCAACATCACAAAGATAGTAAGTGTCAGATGGGGATTTAAAATCAGGTCCCCTGACTCTGAAGGTTTTTCTACAATATTCTGCTGTTTTCCCTCCTCATCTCAGTTTCTTAGAACCCCTAATTTCCTTCAAAGTTTATCATATGCACCATCTGCAACATGATGCTTTTCCTGATCATCCCTTTCTTCAGTTATTAGCCCCTCCCCACATTACCTTGCATTTATTATATATAAATATCACATTTCCTTAGATATGTACATGTAAGAGTAGGGACTTTCTTTTTTTGTCTTCGTATCTCTATTACTTAACCAGCTGATTGGTCCACAGTAAATGCTTATCAAATATTTCTTTATTGAGTGATAATGAAAACAATACTTTCTAATCAAGCAATCTACAAAAAATGGAATGCATTGCCTTATGTGGGACTGAGCACTTCTAAGGTCCCTTCTAACTCTGAATCAATGATACTATGATCTATTGGAGATGTTGTTTGTACTGGGAAATTCACATATTGGAGAGGAGGTTGGATAAGATAACTTCTGAGGCCCTTTTGTATGCTTAAGATTTCATTTTTCTAGTTGTCCAAGGTCCCTAGAATTAAGAATCACTTACTAGACATTGATGCTATCATGGGGCAACCCATGATTAAAGGGTTGGTATTTTTGGTTTTCACATGTTAGACAAGTTGGAGTTAAAGTTGTTCTGATGACAAAACAATGGCTAGGTGACCTCACAATTTTGCATTCAGAATTGAATTATAGAGTTTTAGAGTTGTGACAAACTACAAAATCATCCAGTCTGGCTCCCTCTTTTTATAGGTGAGATACAATCTGAGTTTCATAGTTCAGGTAGGTACAAAGATTAAAGTGAAACTTGTTACTTCTTCACATTTAATCAACCTAAAAAATGGCAATGCCAAAAGTACCCTGGAAGGTGGAGACGATTCCACTTTTTATGTTATGAAATCTAGAATTCTGTTTTATACGTGGTAGACATTTAATAATTTTTAATACAATTTAATTTTAGCTTAGTTTATTTCCAAATTATTATGAATTGAATTTTGGAAGAATACAAATTAGTTCAGTTTCATAGTAATGAGTTTTAGTCTTCCCTAAGTGTAAGTGAGATTCAGTTTCCAGTGCATAGCCAGAGTGACTTTGCCTATGGATGGTCTTCCCATATGCATCTAGGACCAAGTAGGGAAGGACAAGTTCCTAAGTGGGCAAGGTCAGGGTCAGTTTAAGAAGGAAAGTACTTGGGATCATGTTGAAATGGGTGTTTAATGGGTAAGTGTAATGTTCCAATGAGACTAAGTAATTAATAATAATTGCCAATAATCAAATTAACACAATGAGGTAAGCAATGGGAAATAACACAGACACGAGTTTTCTTATTTATCATGAAAAAAAAATCTGCAAACTTTTTATTAATTCCTTGGTCAAACACAATAATTTCCTACTAAATCAACCCTCTATCCCCATGCCCAAACCCAAATTAAAAAAGAAAAGAAAAGAAATCAGGGCATTGATGCAATGTTAATAATGTACAGGGATATCTCCCAAGTTAAGCATATACTGACAAATTGTCACTTTCACCTTTCAGATTTAACAATTACAAGAGTTATTTTTGGATGGTTTGAATAACAGCACCTCTGTGGAAACTTTCACTTGAACAAAATACTAAGTCTGAGAATTATTTTCTATAAAGTGTAGATTTCTAAATAATTTTTTGTCCAAATTTTTCCATTGAAAGCTTTGAAAGACAAAGAAAGAAATAAGAAACATCAAGAAAATGCTTCTTTTTTATGTATCATATCCTTTGCATTTAACATGTTCCTGCAAGAAAAAAAAATAATGTTGTGCCCCCCCCCAAATATGTGCCTTGCTCATCTTCCTTCCTTCTCTTCTCTGTGGGTTTTATTTATGCATTAGTTGACCTTTTTAGCCATTAGGACCATCTTGCTTCAGCAGTTAATTAACAAAAGTACCATAATTTAATACAGTTAATGCTACTTGATGCCCTTTAATGTACCTTCCATTAGTGATATTATTGTAGTATTACCCTGTAAATTAAAATGAGATCAAGACTAAGAGAGGCTCTCTGTAATTAAGGCACTGGCACATTGCAATCCTTTATTATTCACCAGAGAAAATCACCCTGATTTAGTAGAGCAGGACAGCCATAAGTCAGGAGGAATTCATGAGGATTATTAGGTTTGTCAAATAATGGAAGTATAGTAGAAATGCTGAAGTTACTGCCAGCTGTGTCTCCTCCCTTGTCCACACATTATCTTAATAAATACACATCAAAAGGTGGAAAATGGAGGTTGAATCAATAGCTGCCAGTTGAAGAATGAAAATGTTCATGGGAAACTTGAGCTCTTGCCACTAGTAAAGTGGTCTTAGATGGGTCTTGGGCCAATAAGAAGGTGAATGAATCTCATAAAATCTTCTAACTTTAACATTAACATATCAGGATATAGTTAGCAGAGTAAGACAGACTGCTGTATTTGCATGATGGGATCCTTCATCAAGGGCAGGAAGGGACACAAGACATCATCTAGTCCAAAATTCTCATTTTATAACTGGAGTACAAGGCCTAGAGAGGCTAAATTCAGGAGGCTGTCCAAGGTCATACAGGTAGAAATAAATAGATCTAAGAGATGAAATCAGCTCTGATGACTCTTCACTGTATCATTCTGTCTTCCTCCCATTTAGCATTTAGCAAGGATTTTAGCATTTAGCAAGAGGCAAGGTGACCTCTCCAAAAACAGACTCCCATCAAACATTATATCTTTATGTAATTCAATATTTACTCATGAATCAAACCAAAACTACATAGTTTTTTTTTTTTGCAAGCAATGAGACAAAATAGATAGTGGACTTTCCTCATGGCCAGAATGATGAGGGTTCAAATTCCTGCTTTGATGTTTCCTAACTGTGTGACCTTTGAGGAGATTATGTAGACACTCCAAGGCTCAGTTTCCTCCCACGTAAAATGGTAATAATTATAGCCACTTGAGATAATGTATGTAAGGTGTTTTGCTAACATTAAAGTATCCTAAAATTTAAGATAAAAATATTGAGTTCCTGTGCCAGGGATACTGACCTAATGAATATTTCTAGAGAGATATCTAAGCCCAGAAATGAATTACTGATAAAAATCATCAGTAACTCATCAATATTCTGTACATATAGCTATGAATTTAACAAGAGGCAGAAGAAGAAGAAGAAGAAGAAGAAGAAGAAGAAGAAGAAGAAGAAGAAGAAGAAGAAGAAGAAGAAGAAGAAGAAGAAGAAGAAGAAGAAGGAAGAGGAGGAGGACACAGAGGAGGAAAGGAAGAGGAGAAGGAGAGAAAGACAAAGAAGAGTGAGAAGAGGAAATGGAGGGGGAGGAGAGGGGGGAAGGAGGAAGAGGATATTTCCTGCCTCCCCACCCCCAGCAAACATAAAATAACAAAGGATATTTCTGCACATGCAAAGGAGATGAATGAATGAATGAATGACCAGGAATGGACAAATGAATTAACTTTTTAAAATTAAAAACCATTTGTTAAATACTAACTATGTTCCATATATTGTGTTAAATGCTTAGGGGTCTAAATACAAAAGCAAAGACAATGTATGCCCTCAACAACATATCCTGAAATTGTAGGCAGGGAGGGGTCTTTTGTTCCCTAAAGTTTCTCTGATGGTAAGTAGATTAATACAACCCTTCCAAGAACAATGATAGAATTGATTTGATTATGGTTGATGGTGCTGGGGTTGGGGGGTGCACTCAATGTGGCAAGCAGATATCTGGCGCAGTCGATAGTGAGATAAAGCATGGATAAGACTGACCTGAAATAGGAGAGCCAGTCCAGAAGTGAAAGGTCCAGAAATTAAGGTGTTAAAACATCCAAGACATTGTCTCTTCTCCCAGTGGTGGTTGTTCATCCTTCCTTTTCAAAGAGGACCAATAATACCATGGTGGTGTCTTGATTTGGATGTGAATTGGATTTAAGTGAGGCAGGGTTGCATCAAGTCATCAGCCTCATTCTCTCCTTCTGAGTCATAGAAGTCCAGTGATAGGACAAAAGTCAAGAGAACTGGCAATGGCGGTTGGATGCAGTGGATGACCTTGGTATCTCTGATGCCTGACCAAGTTCTAAGCACTTCACAATGACTGCTTCAGCTGCTTTCATGGCCATTGGAACACATTTTTCTCATCCACCCATTCTGCCCAGGGAAAGTCTTCATATGCTTAGGGTAAACATCCCCCTAACTCACTGTTGGGTTTCCCTCAACCTGGTTTCATCTGTGTGCTGAGATGATTAACCAGGGTGTGGCTGCTGCTTATGCTAGTTTCTTAGAGCGATAGGTGAAAGTTGGGTAAAGGTGGACACCAAAGGTAGATGAGCAGCCCTGGAAAGATCTTGGCATATCCTCACACTAGAGGTGCTAGTACTCCCTGAACACTCCAGTGGTAAGGCAACTATGGAGGATGTTGAGAATGTGATAGGGGAATAATAAGTGAAGCATGCCTGAGGCTGACCTGAAGCAGTAAGTGATGGGAGGCAGTAACCCGTGAAAGAGGCTTGGAAAGGAAGGGCAGGGCAAAAGTTCTAGATAGAAACTAGGAGTTAGAAGCTCCAGGTTTATAAGCAGTGCCAACCTTTCAGTTTCTTGAGTGTGATTTGCCATAATCTGACCTTAACCCACTTTTCAATCCCTACTTCACATTGTTTCCTTTCATTCACTCTATTTAGCAATCAAACTGGAACATGTTTGTCCTCAGACTAAATATTCCATCTCACTCCTCTGCTCACTCACAGAGAGGTCCCTGAAGCTTGGAACACATTCCTCCTCTCTATTAAGTCTCAAAAACCTTCTCTTCCTTTAAGGTTCAGCTCAGGATGGGGCTCTTCTTTGAAATCTTCCCTGATTCCTCCAGCTGAAATTGTTCCCTCTATCTAATTTTCCTAGAGTGGTGTTTATCTCTCTCCTTTACCTCATCACACCAAACTGTGTTATACTTAGTTGAGTACGTATCTGTCTACACCCCAAACCCTGGAAGAATAAATATTCCTTCAATTGAACAAAGTTCCCTCTCCCATTATTGAGTTTTTCACAGCACCTCCGGCAGCTACCTTATATTTCTTCTCCCAGGTCAGCTTCTCACTTTTCAGACTTTACTACCATACCTCAGCTTCCTTCTCACTCCAGAAGTTTCCCCAGCACATGTGGCCTTCTTATCCTGGAAGATCCCAGCATCCTTGTGACCCCCTTCTCTCACTGGTGAGTTCTTTCCAGAATGAACCTCCATTTTGTGGAATGGCCTAGAACAGGGATCCTTCATTTTCTCTCCTGGTTTTGCTTCTGACTCTCCAGACTTGACCACTACCTACCTCCCTTCCTCTTTTCAGCTCCTTTTCATGTGTTTTCCCTCCTTAGACTGTAAGCTCTTTGAAGAAAGGAACTATTTCTTTTTGCTTATATTGTATTTCCAGTGCTTAGCATAGTGCCTAGCACAAAGTAGGCACTTAATAAATGCTTGTTGGCTTGACTTGACTAACCTCTTTGAGTCTCACTTTCCTCATCTGAAAAACCAGGGAGTTAACCTAGGCCAGGGGTGGGGAGCCTGAGGCCTAGATAATCTCTGAGGTACTTTCTAGCTAAAGTTTTAACTCAGTTTGCAAGTAACTGAGTGAGACCTTACAGAAGTTCCAGAACTCAGTTAAACCAGAATTTCATCTATTGACTGTGATCTTGGTGGCTTTCAGGTCACTAGTGAAAAATAAAGGCCAGGGAAGTGAGTCATAGATAAAGAAGGGAGCTATTGTGCTAATGGTGGTGGAGGTAGTCACGACAGAGAAAGATACAGGGGAAAGGGTAAAGTGTAAGACACATTGTCTGTGAGGGTCCAAACTAATATTATATAATTATCTTGCCTAGGTCAAGAATGGAAGTCACATAAAAATATTTTGAAATTGTAGTTTGAATAACTAGTTTGACAAATTGCAAATTTATTAAGAACACAAAAAATACAAACACAGTATATAACACTTAAAAAAGAGCCACAGGACTATCCTTTTAAAAGAAGATAAATGAGAATTGGCAGAATAATTGGACTCTAGGAACTTGAGGCCTGATACATTTTTGTAGTTATTGTTTTTGCTCTTAACTTGTGATTCCATCGTTGGTGTGAAAACTCCTAGACTAAATGACTTGCCCATGGTCACACAACTGACTCTACTATTCTGTACACTATACTATGTTATATGCTCTTTGCCCTAATGAAATAGATGATTCAAATCAATGAACTTTCATTAAGTACCTAAGATATACCAGGTGGTATACTATGCAAAAGTGCCATGGTGTAGTAGTTAGCACTCTGGACCTTGAATCCAGTGATCTGAATTCAAATCTTGGTGGGACTTTTATTTGGGCAGCTAGGTGGTGCAGTGGATGGAGTGTTGGGCCTGAAGTCAGGAAGGCACATCTTCTGAAGTGGAAATCTGACCTTAATACTTACTAGTCGTGTGACCTGGGCAAGTCATTTAATCCTGTTTGCCTCAGTTTTCTCATCTGTGAAATGAGCTGGAGAAGGAAATGACAAACCATTCCAGTATCTTGGCCAAGAAAACCCAAAAATGGGGTCATGAAGAGTTGAGCACAACTGAAATGATTGAACAAGAAGTATATTATGTGCTAATATACAAGACAAAAGTGAAATTGGCCCTGTCCTCAAGGACTTACATTCTAATGAAGGAAAAACAAACAAACAAATAAAACATGTAGACAAATGAGTAAATATTAAGCATATATGAAATATATGCTCTAGGGCTACTGTCATAAACCTTTCACAAAGGGAAGTTGAATCCCCAGAGGTCAGCTACTCTATCTCTCCTTCTGGGTTCTGGGAATAACCCAAAGTGGTGTGCGGGGTGGTCCCTACTGGTGTACTTACCAGTTGATATCAATTAGCCAGACAATTAACTTTTAGAAATGGGTATTTACAAAGTTGGTATAGTAAGAATGGTTGGACAAACTATCACCCTCTCCTCCTAGACTCAGAGACACATTATCCCACAAATAAATACAAAGTCAAGGTGAAAATGGGCTCAGCTTCAAGAGCACAAGTAGCAAGGGGATAATTCACAGCTTCTAAAAGAGGGAGTCATGAGCTTAAACTGGGGATCATCAGCTTCTATATATGTGTGTATATACCCACACACACACACACACACACAAACTATTTCAATACAAATTAAGTCTTTTATATCTGATTCATTTTATTTTATGCATTCTGAGAAGAGGTTTATCGGTTTTACCAGCCTGCCAAAGGGGTCTAAGACACAGAAATAATGTTAAGAACTTCTGTACCAGAGATACATCTTTAAGCTGACACCAATGCATTGGTCACAACTGTCTGGGCAATCAACCAGTTTTGAATCCTGTCTCCCTTTTTTTTACAATAACCAAGACCAAAACAGCCAGCAACATTCTTGAGATTAAAAATGTAATTGGGAAATATTTAACATGATAAATAAGACTACAACCAACATAGATAATGTTAACATGTGGCTTTCTGTCAATATGCTGCCTTAAGGGATCCTTACATATGGTTTAGTGGCTCCTGTTTCTATTTGAGTTTGACACCATTGACCTAGACCCTATCTCCCAACTTTCTCATAACTCCTCATCAGGCCTTCATTATGGAGTGATATGCACTTCTCAGCCATTTCCAGACCTTGCCACCTATGCTCTGATTATGTTCCTTACCCAGAGATGAACGGATTGTGCATTCTGCCGCAGAACCCTGGATATCATTATTGTGTAAGCTACTTGAGTCTTATCTTTGTGGTTGTTGTCATTCAGCTGTGTCCAACTCTTTGTGACCCCATGGGTCATAGCGTACCAGGCCCTTCTATTCTGCTTTTCTGGGTTTTATTTGTATCCTCAGGTCTTAGCACAGTGCCTGACAGGCAGTAAGTGTTTAATGAATGCTTTATTATTCGCTCATTTATTTATATTATTACCATTATTCTATAAATTTAAAAGGGGATACTTGATCCTAGAACTTATCTGACTTTGAAGAATTGTTCCTTCTATGAATTTTCAGGAGCCTAGAAAACGGTTCTATTGCTATTGATTCTCAGCTCTATAATAGTAGACAGGGGTCCCTCCAGCATGGTGTCCATTCAGGAGAAGGGCATTATACGCTTGCTTTTCACCTGGTGTACAAATAAAAATATTGT